AGTGTCCCACCTTTTTTGCATCAGGTCCCGAGTATAGCTTTTGATAGTGGGTTTGAAGTCACTGTACGGGATTAGCAGTGGAGATAAGGGCTTTTCAAGAGCTGCTTTTGCTGCAGCATCGGCCTTTGTGTTACCTGCTATGCCGACGTGACCCGGCAACCAGCAGAGGACGATGTCATATTGGCCAGTAGAAAGGTCGTTGTACAGTTCTAATATGTCCAGGATGATTGGGTGACTTGAAGTCACGTTTAGAAGTGCTTGAAGGCAGGATAATGAATCTGTAAATACGATGAAGTTTTTGGACTGATTTTGCTGTTGAATGTAGGTCAAAGCTGAGAAGATAGCTTTGGCTTCAGCGGTGAAAATGGAACTGTTGTCGGGGATCCTAGAGGAGACAGTCTTGGCTCCGATGACTGTAGCGCTGGCAACTTGGCCATCGTCCTTGGATCCGTCTGTGAAAATGGATCTGTGAGTGTTATACTTCGTACGTAACTGGTTGTATTCCTGTTGGAACACCAAGGGATTTGTTTCAGACTTTTTTGAGTTTGGTGAGGGTAAGATCGACCTGTGGTTTCACCATTTGCCATGGTGGTGAGGACAGAAGTCGGTATGGTGCAATGATGTCGAGATCAATTTTAGCTGCAGATATGTGTGGTTTGATCCTGATTCCAAGTGGTGGAACCAGGCTTGGCAGTTTAGGAAATAAGTTTTCATAGAGCGGGTTGAAAACACAATTGTATGCTGGATTGGGCTCATTTGAACGTAATTTAGTGATATACTGCAGTGAGAGTTTAATGCGGCGTTGTTCAAGGGAAGGTTCATTGGCCTCTGCATATAGACTGTCTACCGGAGAGGTCCTAAAAGCTCCCAGGCAGAGCCTCAGTCCTTGGTGGTGGATAGAGTCTAATTTTTCTAAATTGCTTTTGCAGGCTCCACCGTAGACAATGGAGCCATAATCTAGTTTACTGCGAACTAATGATCTGTACAAGTGAAGTAGGGTGGTCTGATCCCCTCCCCACTCTGTATTTGAAACTACTTTTAGCAAGTCTAGAGCCTTCAAGCACTTGGTTTTCAAATATTTTATGTGTGGTAAGAATGTCAGGTGGCGGTCGAATATGAGTCCAAGGAATTTGGCCTCTTCTACTACCTTGATGGGAGTACCATCTAAAGTTAGGTCTGGATCCTTGTGTGGTTTGTATTTACGACAAAAATGAATACAATTTGTTTTGGATTTTGAAAACTTAAAACCATTTTCATTGGCCCATTTTTGGATTTTGTTAAGGCAGAGTTGTAGCTGCCTTTCTATTGCGTGCATGTTCTTACCACGACATGAAATATTGAAGTCATCCACGAAAAGGGACCCATCAAAGCAACTGTTTAGAACGTTAGTGAGGCTGTTAATTTTGATGCTAAAAAGTGTGACAGACAGGATGCTGCCTTGGGGGGACGCCCTGATCTTGGTGGAAATAGTCGGACAGTGTGGAACCCACCCGAACTTGAAATTGTCTGTTATTTAAAAACCGAGATATGAATTGAGGTAATCTACCCCTCAATCCAAACTCGTGTAAATCTTTTAGGATACCATGTTTCCATGTTGTATCATATGCTTTTTCTAAGTCGAAAAAGATAGATACTGCATGTTGTTTGTTGACAATGGAGTTTTTGATGAATGATTCTAGACGCACCAGATGGTCAATGGTACTTCGGTTTTTTTTCGGAAACCACATTGGAGGTCACTGAGGAGGTTATTGGTCTCCAGGTACCAGATTAATCGATTGTTGACCATGCGCTCCATGGTTTTGCAAACGCAGCTAGTTAGTGATATAGGACGGTAGTTTGAGGGATCAGTATGATCGCGGCCAGGTTTTGGTATAGGGATGATAATGCCATTGTGCCACGAAGGGGGGAAAGTGTCCGGATGTCCAGATGTCATCAAATATATTTAGGAGTGTTTCCAAGCCTGAGTCAGGGAGGTGTTTCAGAAGCTGATAATGGATTTCATCAGCTCCTGCCGCAGTGTCGTGAGCCTGTCCTAGGGCAGTACTTAATTCATGGAGGGAGAACATTTCGTTGTAATCCTCCCCATTATCAGAGTTAAAATTGACTGGTTTCTTTTCTTGTTGGGTTTGATATTTCTGGAACCGAGGGTTATAATTTGATGAGGAGGAGTGGTTTGCCAAAGTTTCACCGAGTTTGTTTGCAATCTCAGATTTATTTGTTAGAAGGAGTCACCATCTTTCAGGTGGTGAACTCCTGATTTTGACCCTTGCCCTTGATCTTTTGAATCATGTTCCACACCTTGGACATGGGTGTGCGGGAGTTGATTTTGGACACATATTTCCTCCATGAGCGGCGTTTAGTTTGTTTGAAGGTACGTTTTGCCCTGGCATTTGTCATTTTAACAGCATTCAGGTTGTGCACTGTAGGATGTTGTCGGAAATATTTTTCCGCCTTCTTCCTATTTTTCCTAGCTTGTTTGCAGTTTGTATCAAACCATGGTTTGCGTATGTGCGGGTTTGCAGAGGACTTAGGAATACTTTTGTCTCCGATGGCATTTAGGATGTCTGAAAATAGTTCCATGGGGTCAGGAACATTCCTGAAGTTGTCCGGCTTAAGTTTTTCTGAACATAGGGTTTGGAATAAAGGCCAATTGGCCTTAGTAAAATTCCATCTTGTTGATGGTGGTTCATCCGTGGGGTTGATAGGAGTAAGAATTGTTGGGAAGTGGTCGCTTCCACAAAGGTCGTCATGGACCGACCATTCGAACTCATTTAAAAGATTAGAATCTGTAAGTGATAGATCGAGAGCAGAGTATGTTCCAGTGGCAGGGTGGAGGTAGGTGTTTGATCCATCGTTGAAGATGCAGACATCATTATTTGAGAGAAACTCTTCAAGTATCTTTCCCTTACTATTTGTATCAGTACTCCCCCATAGGGGTCATAATCATTAATGTGCTTATGTCTCCTGTGTCTCAGCATAACATCCTTCCTTGAAAACAGTCTCTGACAATCTGGACATGTTGCTTCAATGGTGGTTCTGTATCCAATGAGAAGTGCATCACATCTATCCTTATTTATACACCCTGGAGGTCCTGCTCTGGGATCCAGCTGTTGAATTTCTTAGGATAACGCATCCATTTAACATACACCTCTTTTCTACCAGCTCTCTTCCTCTTCTTCAAGACTTTTTCAACACGCCACAGGGTGTCTGCAGACTTATATACTTTCTGAAGTTCAATTGCATAAAAGGTACCAGTGATAGGATCCTCAGCCATATCCTTGACTTTATAGACTGGTATCCCATCCCTGTAGTATCGTCTGCTAATAATGAATATTTCCTCTGTCCATTTCTCCTGATAGTCACGTTGAAAGACATGTCTCAAATGTGACAGTCGCACCTGATCCCCTACTTTGAATTTAAAGGCTTTCCGTCTTCTTTCATTCATCTTCTCTGCTTTGGGTTTGACTTGTTTCTGCAGTGGATCAATGTACTGTTGTTTCCAAACTACTGATTCATTGTTCACATCAATATCAGCTGGTGATTGTTCATTGAACGATCTATGAGGTCTTTGGTTATAATCATTCACCAAATCCTGCAAAACGTTAGGATAACGATACGATACGTTTGTTTGAAAGTAAAGTATCTGTACATAGTCGTCTTTAGTGTTCGTATTACTCTCTCTGCATAAGAAGCCTTGGTTTCATTCTGTGTGACATAGTAGGTGATACCCCTGTTTGCTAAATATGATCTCACTTTCTTATTATCAAGTTCACGACCTTTGTCAGATCTTATAATTTGTGGTAGAGTAGCACGAGCAAATATCTTCTTCATGGCCTTAAGGACTGCGTCTGGTGTCTTATTATTTAGTGGTTCCACAAACAGAAATCGTGTAAATACGTTAATAGCTATCAATAAGTATTTTACACCGTCATTGTCAGAGGCTATATTGGAAACATCAGCCAGGTCAATATCCCACCGGTCATTAAAACCAGTTGAGACCACTCTGTTTCGCTTAAACTTATACCATACAGGGCACTGAAGTGAATAGGCATCTTGAGAAGCGAGCCACTTCTTGATGTGATGTCAGCTGATGTCAAATTTCCCTTCCCTTCCTTATAACTTAGTTGAACCCCAGAAGGAGGGTGGGTGTTTGGGATTAAAGTAAATGCTGGACAAATACTCTTTCCATCCTTCAGCGGGCATGGTGAGAAGACAAATGTTATAAAAATAAACTGCATATGTGTTAATAAGAAACCATGTCTCATTCAGTAGTGATCAGTTTACATAGGCTATGACTAGCCGACTGTGTGACCTAGTTTCTATCTCACTGTACGAGCAGTACTGTTGTGTAAGGTCCATAATGGTTTGTTTACACAGGTGACTACCTCGTCTCGCTATATGTGTGAGCTAGTTCCTCTCACCCTTGCATTTCACTTACTACCTAGTTGGTATGAAAAGATGTATGACGTTGATCTATGTATAGACTTTCCCAGTTATTGTACACTGAAATATAACAGTCCATACGTTGATATCTCTTTTAATATGTTAAGTATTGCCTCCAACAACTTGCGAGGGAGTTTTCCTGTTTACATACATACAGTCACGTTCGGTCTATGACAATCTCACTACCACCCAGACTGTGTCGTTATTCTGCTTCTCAAACAAACCCCGTCTCCTTGCTTGACTATGGTCATTAAACAATTAATTATGAATAAATGCTGGAATACAAGTCGTCTCCCTAATCGTAGGCACAAGCCAGCTCTCGCTATCCTTAGACTTGGGGAACTTCATTTCTAAAAATAGCCTGGTGTATTGCAACCACACCTTGTAATGACGTGTTTCTATAATTAGCTCGGCTCCATCGATAGCTGGCGTAGAACTCTCATTTTCTATTCATCAGGAATTGACTTTTGTGAAACAAGTCAGCGAGCCTGACCACCCGATTTTTCATAAAATGTATTATCTTTATACATCATACAATCTTGCCTGTTTGTACGTACCTCACACAGATCGCAGCCAGCCCATGTGGTCGCAAAGCCACACTGAAAGGGATGTAATGCATAAAATAAACTAGTGCTCTAAAGAAACTATACACAGCAACATATTACTGTAGCATAAAAATTCACAAAAATATAAATGAAGTGATAAAACCATACTGAGCCATGTCACACACGTACAGACCCATCCTTTCCTGGAACACACGTACAGACCCATCCTTTCCTGGAACACACGTACACACACATCCTTTCCTGGAACACACGTACAGACCCAGACACGTACAGACCCATCCTTTCAGGGAACACACGTACAGACCCATCCTTTCAGGGAACACACGTACAGACCCAGACACGTACAGACCCAGACACGTACAGACCCATCCTTTCGGAGAACAAAGGGCGAAACAAGTTAACGAATCGCATAAACGTCGCCAAAAAATACCCAAACCAAAACGACTTTTTCTGATGTAACACGAACTGCACGTGCATACTGACAGTATATAACAGCCCACAGGACGCCTGGGGAAAAGAACACAAAAAGCATGACAAGTTTGAGGCAAATCGAAAGAAAGAGAGATGTCGGAAAGTCCCAACAAGGAGCTAACCACACCGTCACTGCCAGAACCTTCGGCTGCACCCGAGCAACTGTCATCTCACTGATGCAATGACAACAGGCAATATACGTCGGACAGGCCTAGGAGTGGTCGACCACGTGTGACAACGCCCGGTGAAGATCGCCACATCCGGACAATTCCGGGGTATTTCGAACGCTGTTGTAATCCATTTGGCTATTCATCAAATAATACTTCATCATCTGCATATAATAAGTCTAACAACTTTATAAATATCACCAAATCTTCGTCTTCAATATAATTCAGATTTACACCATTACAGTTTAAAGTAAGTAAATGAGATTCAATATCTTTTATGAAAATGGAAAAAATTAATGGTGACAGATTCTCCCCCTGTCTGACGCCAGTGTTACATGGAAAGTAGTTTGACACACCATTATCACATTGTACAAATGATTTGATATTGTTATACATTGATTTAACAAGGTTCAGCAATTTACTCTCTATACCATTTTTGTGGGCATTTTTCTCCACAATCCCACTCGCCAAACAGTATCGAAAGCTTTGGTAAAGTCTATGAAGGCACGATAGTTTGTTTCCTATCTTTCAATATTTGCATCAGATTATAAATTATAAATACATTGTCAACAGTGGAGAATGACTCATTAAACCTGCAACCCAGCTTTGGCAGGTGTTAAAATATTATTAACGTTTAAGAAATCTACAGGCGATTGCTTAATATTTTAGTGAACAAATTTCCGAAACAACTCGGTAAAGTGATTGGTCTATATACGTTAGGATTAGATTTATCACCTTTTTCTTATAGATCGATTTAATTATTCCCGTTAACCATGATTCTGCTAAAACACCCTTCTCAAATATGACCGCTTCCGTGGTGTAGTGGTTAGAGCGTCCGCCCGGAGAGCGGAAGGTCGCGGGTTCGATCCCCGACCGCGTCATACCAAAAGACGTTAAAATATGGTACTTGTTGGTCCTTGCCTGGCGCTCGGCATTAATGGGTACATCAAGGACTGGTCGGCTCGGAGTCAGTATAATAGTGTCTGAGTGGGGCATGGTATCTCAGTGGGCTAGCACTATAAAACCAGCTTCAGTCTGGACTATAGTACTGTCGGAAATAGAAAAAAACTGTATTTTCTCATTTATCTCTACAATTTATGTAGTTGATATGTGCAAGTGTGAAATATCTGTAAAACTAAGTTCGGCCTAACTACAGTCACAGTGGGAGGGAGATAGGAAACGTAGAAAATGGACTTTACTGAGATGAGCAGTGCGGGTTTTTCTAAGTCCAAAACGATTTATTTGGAACAGACCATGGCTTTATGCAAATTAGTGTGCGACGATATTGTATTACAAAGAACACTTTTTAAATGCCCAATTTGAAATTAGACGTAGCTTCATTATAAACGATAGCTGGCGTAAACAATAACTTTAATGCTGAAACTATTAAGGATGTAGCTACCATGGACTCTCACTGTCACTATAAAAAGAAACAGATAGGAGGGTTCGTCAAGAAAAACCTGGACGGGTATCGCAGACAATCGTTGGGGTCGGGCTGGGGATAGAGATATCAGCTAAGATAAGATCATCCTTTAGGACAGTTATCCTGGGGAAGTACATGGCACGTCATAACTACAAATTACTTCCAGTCCTTTTGATCTTCGCGATCGGGTGGTCATGCCACCTATATATACTGAGTCAAAAAAGAAACTTCACAAAATGTAATTTGAAAAATAATGAATAATTTTTCTCTGATGATACATCTATGTATCCGAAATGGGATCCCTATCTTTAGACTCTAGAAAAACGTTAGCAAAACCCACTCAAACCCATCCATTCGTCGTGCAAATGACGTAAGTGCCAAATCAGGTTTTGCACGTGCAGTCGATCACGTGATCTTCGCATCGATGTTTTCTTCATATGCACGTGTTTGCATTGGCCTCAAGAATTGAAAAACCACTTTTAAACCACAGTTCTAACGGTACTTGAAATGCCACGATTGTCAAATGTGCAACGTGAACGTGCCGTTGGCATGTTGCAAGCGGGAAGATCAGTTATTGACGTCGCAACAGCAATGGGTTGCAGCCGTCCTACTGTGTATGACTTGCGAGGTCGTCTACAACAAACTGGCACCACTTCTGACCGCCCAAGGTCGGGTCGTCCACGTGTGACGTCACGAGCAGAAGACCGTCAAATCGTCCTACGTCACCTACGTGACAGATTTCTGCCGGCTACACGAACCAGGGCTGAGATGTTTAGAGGTCGACTGTCCTCACAGACCATTCGAAATCGGTTGCTGGCTGCCAATCTCCATTCTCGACGTCCATATCGTGGGCCAATATTGACGCCGTTTCATCAACGTCAAGGTCTGCTGTTGGCCCAACGTCATCTCCGATGGACCCAGAGAGACTGGAATCGAGTCGTCTTTAGCTATGAATCCAGGTTTACCCTCAGATTCGCGGACGGCATGCATAGAGTCTGGAGACGACGTCGTGAACGGTATGCCCAATGTTGTGTACAGGAAGTCGACAGATTCGGGGGCGGAAGTTGCATGGTGTGGGGTGTTTTCTGTGGGAACAACCGTTCCCGACTTCTGGTCATTCGTGGAAACCTCACAGCTGCTGCTTACCGCGACCAGGTGCTCACCCCTGAACTCGTTCCTTTCATGGCGGCTCACGGCCCAGGTCTACAGTTCCAGCATGATAATGCTCGGCCGCATACCGCGATGTTGACACGAAATATCCTTCAAAACGCTGGAATCAACGTCATGGACTGGCCATCGAGGTCCCCTGACCTTAATCCAATAGAGCACGTTTGGGATGCACTTGGGAGAAGGCTTCGTGGACTTAGGAAACAACCTCAGAATTTGCAGGAACTTGGCGCTGCCTTGCAAGAGCAATGGCGCAGAATCTCCAACCACGTGTTCACAAGCATCAGGCAGTCGATGAGGAGACGGTGTTTGTCAGTGGTGAATGCGCGGGGCGGCCATACACGATATTGAACTGAGAATTTTCGCATTTTTATTCTTGTGACTTGACATTCTGTATACCCATGGTTTGGAACGGCGGTGTAGCCTAATGGAACTGATTATGGCACTGACTCAGTATATTTTGAGACATTTAATACGATGCGTTTCTATGGTTATCCCGTATCATACTCTTTTACATATCTCAACATAAACTTTATGAAAGAAAGACAAGTAAGATGTTAATCAATAGATGAGGCATAGTCAACACACATGAAAAAGCACAAAATATCTTTGAGATGACCCCTTGTGCCTGTAGGCAGCACATGCATTTCATGCCAGGTGAGTCGACGGTCCGTCGTCATACCTGGCTGAGCGACCTAATTGCCATCTATAGTCTGATCTATTGTTTTCAGCAGCTATTCGTATTTTTTCTAAGTTTTGCCCGATTTTACGAGTAAACATGCTTTTCTGGATATCCTATTACGCATCCCACTGAATGCCCAGTTAGGCCAAAGTGGGTTATTTCGACATATGCTATTTGCATTTGTGTAAATTTTAGGGATACAGAGTAACAGCCTAAAAACAGTTTTTTTCTATTTCCGACAGTACTATAGTACAAGCAGCCGCACATACACATACACACGCATGCACGTCGTCATATGAGTGAAATATTCTCAAGCACGACGTTAAACCCAATTTCACCTCTCACCTCACCTCACCTCTCAAATATGAGATTAAATAGTTGTGTGTGCACTGCAGCTGTGTGCATTTGCCCGTTTGGTGTTCATAATTTAGTTAGTATAAGTGGGAATATAATTTTGCGTGACCTGTTTGTAATTTGGTCAATATCTTTAGATCATTTTTGTGGTTTCTTGAGTAGATTTTTGTTTGGAAATATTTGGTAAAAATCCGTATATCAAAACACGGACTAGCCTTAGCAATACAATGAAATATACTCACCAATACAAGAAACAGAACGCTTTGAGAGAGCATGATGAAAGTCTTCGCCAGATCGTTAATTTACTTTGACGGTTGCCGACGTCCGTGAAAATATATATTGATATATAGATATATATACTTTTCAACTGCCATATATGGGTATCACAAACGTCATATGGCCACATCTGTCCAGGTTCTCTCAATATTTATTCATTATTTGGCATCGATCTGCAATCCATGCAGGACATCTGATGTCAGTTTTCAATGCGCTATTGGTGTCGGTAAGAAACAGTTAAAGGGTGTAGGGAAAGTGACAGGATCGGAGTCTGAGTTTCAGTGACGGAGTTTGGTTTTACCGTGCTTTCAGTTCTTCTGTTATATTAGGCAGCGATGGGGTAGCCTAATAGCTAAAGCGTCCGCTCGTCAGGTCGAAGACCCGGTTCGATTCACCACACCGGCACATTAAGTGATGCCTATTTCTGGTGTTCCCGCCGTGATGTTGCTGGAATAGTGCTAAAAGCGGCGTTAAACTATACTCACT